CCCTGGATCCTTCTCTTCTCCAGGTGAGCACCCCCAGCTCTCCCAGCCTGGCTCCAGAGCAGAGGGGCTCCAGCCCTTGGAGCAGCTCCATGGCCTCTTCTGGTTTTACTCCAATAGTTCCACATCTTTTCCTGAGGATCCCAGAGAAGCACCATGAGCCATAACTCAATGTACAGACCACGAGTCCAGGTCCTGTCTGGGTCTGGTTTCACAGAGCAACCACTGATGGGTCCAGTGTCATTCACTCAGCAAAGGCAGCTCAGTAGAAACATCAGCAGGAATAATTAGACATAGCCTGAACAATATCACAATTTTTCCTCACTGGACCCCTCAACTGCTCAACCACAGCCACGTATTGCAAAGACTGAAAATGAAACTATAATGCAAAGATGCAAAAAAAAAAAACCACAAACCCAAACTTCATTTAAATGGTCATGGTTGAAAACCCCTGCAGCTGCTATTTTAGTTCAAAACAAGGATTCTCTCAACGTTGTTTTGAAAGGGCAGATTTCAGTAATTACAGAAAAAAAACCCCAAATTCACAGTTGTAATTCTTTAGTTTTCTAACATTGAATGAGGTTTCATGGCAGAAATAAATAAATAACACATTTCCAAGTGGGCTTGAGATAAGATTTTGGCAGGTGGCACTTTTTGCCCAGAAGAACTACACTCAATACTTATCATTTCATGCCTGTCTGACCTTAAGAATATCTTGTCAAAGCAGAGAGAAAACGAATATTAAGTTGGCATTTGAGTCACACTGGGATTAATGTCCATGTTCCTAAGAGCATCCCAAGCGAGCATGAAGGCTGGGAAAATGTCTTGAAGCTACAAAAAAACCCCCATCAACAACAACAAAAAAACCAGGTCAGAGCAAAGCTTGAAGCAAAAACTGAGTTTTTATCTGCAGCAGGGGTGTAGCATCGTCTCTGCAGCTCCCTGGGAGAGGGGACATCCCACTCTGAGCCTGCACAGTTGGTCCTTGCACTTGTGAACTTGAGGATCCAATTACAGGATGAAACCCAGCTTTGAACTTCTTGTGGTATTTTCCAGCTGGGGCCTCGACAAAACCGCACCAAGGTTTTCTGAAACCGAGTGCTTTGGCCGTGGAGATAAATTTAAATTTAATCCTCACTTTCCAGCTGAGCACTACGAGCAGCCCAGTGGAGGGGTGGGTGGTTTTTTTACCTCGGGCTGAGGCACCTGGAAATGAGAAATGAGATGGAGCCCACGGCCAGATGTGTGCACTGCTGGGGATGGCAGGTGTCACCCAAAGGCAGCCCTTCCTCCTGCATCTCCTCTCCTGTGTCACTCATCACTGCTTTAGGTAAAATTAAACAGCAAATCTTTTAGGGGAAGGATCACACATCACTTTTTTTATTTGTTCCAAAGAGGTGCCGGTGCGTTTTAAGTGCAATCGCACAGCTCTTGCAAGCTTTGCTCCAGTTCTCTACTCGGGATGAAGAATTCCTTTTAAAACCTGAAAAAATCACTTTTTTAGCCTTCCTTCACTTCTAACAGCCAAGGAGGAACCAGATTTACATATAACCATTGCTACTTTCTGCAAAGTTCTTCAAAGACATCCTTAGAGCCCAGAGACCCGTCTCAGTTTTGACGCTGCTGATGTGCGCTCTGGGAAGATGCTGGGGACCAACAAATTCCCAAAGCTCTCTGCAAGTCCTGCCTCTGGACTTTCCCTTTTTTTTTTTTTTTTGCTTCCTGCGCTGAATTACAGCCACGCAGCTCCTCTCGCACTGGCACAAACGCTGCCCCGGTGTAATTACCCCACTGTGAATTCCTCGACAAGCCCTTTCCCTGGCTCAGGGCTCCGCAATCTGTGGGAAGCATCTCCCTGGAGGGGCACAGCTTGGAGGGAGGATATTGTTTCCATTCACAGCCCTGGAACATGCTAATTATGCCGGGAGGAAAAGGAGGGGGGTGGCAGCTTTCACTTGGGAGGGACAAGCCGGGCAAATAGTTTGTGAAACGCCAACTTAACCCCATCTTGTAGGGAATTGTCTCCAGCTCTTTTCCCCCTTCCTAGTTACTGTAATGAGGGCCTGACTTCCCAGATTAGCTCTGGCTATTTAAATGCAAATTTAATTAACAAAACATCCTTGGTGGGGGGAGGCGCTGCTTGTCCCTCCCATTCATTTATCGAGTTTCTCAACGCGACACTGTTTTCATCAGGTTGAGGAGCCACTGTTATTGCTGTGCCCACCTGGTTGTGGCAGGGATGTGTGCGAGAAAAAAACAGGTCCTTCATCTCTTTTTTTATTATTATTTTTATTTTTTAAAGGAGGAAGTTTGATTATTTTTGTTTAGGAAATCCGTGGTTACAAGTGTCCTGCCCGGGGTGCGCGTTACCACCAGCCTGCCAGGGAAGAATTTTTTGCTTTTATCTTGATGGAGATACGAATGTTTCAGCTCTCAGATCATCTAGAAAGAATTTTATCTCCAAGCCAGAAAACATGACAACCCTTTAGATGTCCTTTCAACCAAACCACAAAAAGCAACAAATCCAGTGCGTTTAAAATCCACTTTTCCATTTGTTCTGCTGCTCGTCAAGGCATCAATTATGGATTTGCTGTAGACCTGCTTCGTGCCCATAAATCATTCAGGCCTTGGAAAACCAGACCAGGGGATCTTAGCAGGGTTTAGTCAAAATTTGAAGCGCTCACAACTTTTGCAAAAATCTCAGCACGTCTGGGACAGTCCTGGGATGCATCCAGGGCATCCAGCAGTGATCACATCCTCAGCACAAAACAGGCGGTGAAGCATTTAAAAAAATAAAACCTCTCGCTATTGTATATTTTTTCACAGATTTTTGTTTTGTCCAGTCCCTGGGCTAATAAGTTTCCATCTGATTCGGTCTTCTGGTTTATCTTGCTTTTCAGCTTGAAGGTATGAATGTATAAATGAAGTAGAAGTTTGGAGGCACGGGCAAAAACGGAAGACAAGTTTGTTATAAATTTATTTATTTATATATTATTTATTATAATTTATTATTTATTTCTACTTGAATTGAGAAAGAAAGTGTCAAGGAAAACCTATATTAAGAGCAGGTTAAAAAAAAAAAAGACTGGGTAAAGCAGCAAATCAAATTTTCCAAATCAGTTGTGTCAAAATTCTGCTTGTTACAAAAAATTTATTTATTCAATAAATAAATAGAAATTGCTGAAATTTCACACTCATCACGTTGTGCAAATGTGCAGGTTCAGGAGATTCACCTCATTTTTTGCAAAGCACTTTTCATGCTTTAGTATTTTAATTTTTCCTATTTTAAGTTTTCCTATTTTAAGTTTTCCTATTTTAATAGGAACTTTGTAAATTTGAAGGATTGATTGTTTCCAAAGCCATTCATAACTCTGAATTACACTGATCATGAGATGGATTTTTAAAGGTATTTGTGTGTGACCTACTGCCCTCACTGTGAACAGAATCCCCAGATAAATAAACAAATCCTTGATGTCTTCTTGCAGCAAAATATAACAGAGTAAAGCCCCAAACAAACTTTTTATAGACATCTCCCACTTTTTAAAAGTCATTCCAAAGTTCAAAGTCCTGGC